TGAAGGTCAAATAAGAAGGGGACTGCAAAGGATGAGATGGTTAGACAGTGTTATGGAGGCGACGAACATGAAATTAAGCAAACCCCAGAGCGCGACGGAAGACGGGAGGGCCTGGTGTGATGTGGTCCATGGGGTCGGGAAGAGTCGGACTCGACTGAACAATAACAACAAATAGGGTATCATGGGAATCCAAGTGGGATGTATGACAATAATAATAATAATAATAATGCTTTCGATTTATTAATCGCTTTCCCCACAAGTGGGCTCAAAGTGATTTACAGTTACTCTTTAGACGGGACTAACAATGTTTTTCATAGGGGATACGGAAGACAACATATAATTCATTTAAGTTGCACACGCCGTACTGCCCGGTGAAACGTTTCTGGCTTGACTCAGTCATGTTCCGAACAGCTGCATCGCCACACTGCCACCGCCTGGCCGGAGCATCCCACTGCAGGAATTTTTCTTAGCTGAGTAGATTCTTCCGCCTTCCAGGTCCAGACCAGGACGTCTCCAACCGAGAGCTAACACCTTCCCAGAAGGGAGTCGGTGTGCCCACCCTCTCTAAGGAGTGGTTCCCATTTTATCTACTCGCCGAGGCTTTCGAATCGCTGGGTGGATGATGAGCTGGGGACGACAGGCTGGCTGCTCACACCAGCGCGGGGCTCGAACTGACACAGTTCGGATGTTAAGACAGTGGAATATACCCACTGTGCCACCGCTCCCCTGACAACTCATCAGTTGCCAATTATTTGCTCAGAGTAATCAAGACAACAAGTTCATAACTAGGATTCTTTCTCTGAACAGCTACTAAACTCCCTTTAAAATAATCAGGAATCATGTCTGTCAGTTGTGGGTGGGATTTGGGAGTTTTTTTAATAGTCTCTCTTACTGGGCCTCAAGGCAGAGAGTAAATACTTTCAATCCGTCACCGGATTACTGAATATGATAAATAAATCAATGGATTATAAAATATAAGGCAACATGCCTAACAGTGTAGGGACTCCAGGAGTACTGGTGGAGATTGGAAGGGTACACAATGTGAGAAAATGACTGCAAGACTGATAAATGCATAGATGAATAAGGAGCCTCATTAATTATGTTTCACAGCCTGGAATCTCAGAGTTTTGAGCATAGGATTGAATCTTATTGCCATCCTGACTTGGCTTAGCAGGGCAGCAGTTCTTAGTGGCTATCTGCCTGTTATGGTGGTGATGGAAAGTGCCATTAAGTTGCAGCTGTTTTAGGACAACCCCTCATGGGGTTTTCAGGGCAAGAGACTAACAGGTGGTTTGCCATTGCCTCCTGCATAGTAGCCCTGGACTTCCTTGTTGGTCTGCCATCCACATACTAACCAGGGCTGATCATGCTGCTTAGCTTCCAAGATCTAAGGAGACTGGGCTTTCCTGGTCCATTAGGTCAGGACTCCACCCTCTATAATCACACAAAATTGTATACTTTTGGGCAAAACTGACTCTAGAAAGGTAACCTTGTTGCAGCAAAACAGTGCCTCTGTAAATATAATAAGCAGGAGGGCCATAGCCGTCTGTCCCCACCCTATAGCCACCTCCTCCCCATCATTGTATAGATCTGTCTGCACTGATCAGATACCTACTCAGGTCAGTGTATTAGCTTACTGGCAAACAATACAGAAGAGCAAGAGTCCAGTAGTACCTTAAAAACTAAAAATATGTGGCGTCCAGGTAAGTACCCACTATAGGAAGAACTCTGCCCCAATGCCCCCTGGTCTCCTTATTCCTTCTCCGAGCTGTTTAACGCTTTTATGCCATCCCATTTTAACTATTATGTAATGTAAAATAGTTCACCTGATTTATATTGTGAATTCAATTATGTATAGCTAAATTCAGATTCAGAGTTAACCCTATGTACTCAAGGAGATCCCCCGTCTGTTGTCTCCCTCTCTCAAAATTCCCTTTTAATGTCGCTTACAAAACCTGTGCAGACCTACACAAGAAATAGGGACATACTAAAATGAAGGACAAGCGATTGCCCATAGGGAATACATGAGTGGACAGTGATTGCCCATAGGCAATACATGAGTGCCAATAGAGAATGCATGATTGCCCATAGGGAATAATGAAGAGTAGGCTTGCCGATAGGGAATAATGGAGTACATAATTGCCAATAGAAAATCCATAATTCCCAATAGAGAATCCATGATTGCCCATAGGGAATAATGGAGAGGACGCTTGCCCATAGGGGATAATAGAGTACATAATTGCCAATAGAGAATCTATGATTGCCCATAGGGAATAATGGAGAGTAGGCTTGTCCAGAGGGGATAGTGCAGTACATAATTGCCAATAGAGAATCCATGACTGTACATAAGGAATAATGGGGAGGATGCTTGCCCATAGGGGATAATGGAGTACATAATTGCCAAGAATCCATGATTGCACCTAGGGACATAATTGCCAATAGAGAATCCATGATTGCCCATAGGGAGTAATGGAGAGTAGGCTTGCCCAGAGGGGACAGTGCAGTAAATAATTGCCAATAGAGAATCCATGATTGCCCATAGGGAATAATGCAGAGCAGAGCACATCTGACAATAGGGTATAATGGAGTCCACGCTTCGCACAATGAATAAGGGAGACCACATGTGGACGTGGGGAATAAAGGAAACCACGTTTGTCCAGAGGGAATAAGGGAGACCACACGTGCCGATAGGGAATAAAGGAGACCACACTTGCCCACAGAGGATATTGGGGTCCACGCTTGCCCAAAGGGAATAATACAGACCAAACTTCCCCATAGGGAAAACGGAGCCAATGCTTGCCATAGCGATTAAGAGAGAACACGCCCATAGGAGCTACTGGAGAGCATCCTTGCCCATAGCGAATAATAGAGACAATGCTAGCCCATAGAGAATAACGCTGTCCTCGCCTGCCCACAGAGGACAATGGAGTTCACACTTGCCCATAGATAATAATGAAGACTACGCTTGCCCATAGGGAATGATGGAAACCATGCCTGCCCACAGGGAATGATGGAAAGCACACTTTTTAAAGAGCCCCTAGAGAGAGCTGGGGAAGCCAGAATGACCTCTCGTGTGTCATCACGAGGATATCACACGCGAGAGGCGGAATTTGCCCCTACGAGTCCAAGGCCATTACACCTCTCCACAACAAGAGAAGAGAAACTTTGTAAGAAAAAAAGAGTTAAAGCTGTGAAGTCAAAGAACCAGATACAAAGATTGTTTTACTGATATAACAGTAGTCAGCTGCTGATTAAAACAAAATAACCCTTGGTGGTGGGGTGGAGGTGGGGGATGGCTGCTGCAAGAAGGAGGGGAGGGAAAACTGCTACCATGAAACTGACCAGGAAAACCTGAACATTCCCAAGCATGTGGCAACCATTCAGACTTTACTGTAATCTTTCCCAAAACTCTGCAGCTAAAGTAGATCTGGGAAACACTGAAGAAACACCAGGGAAAACCTAGGAGATTAATGGAGGCACCGATGCTATGAAGAAGCAGGGGAAAAACACTTCCCAACAGTATCAACCCTGGGACAAATAACTGGTGTGGAAATGGCCTAGGAGGTGCTGCATCTATGAACTGTGTGTTTTTGTTCTGCCTGTTGTTCAAGTGATGATAGTCTTCCTTCTTTCCTTGAAAACTCTTGCTTCTGGAAACAAATTCTAGAGAGCAGCTTCCATGCAAATTTAAATCCCTGCAGGTTACATTCTGCACTAACACCATCAGGATGTGCTTTACCTTGAAAGATGCAACTGCTTTATCATATGCCTTTATGAGGGCTGTATCATCCCATATATCAGAATCATCGCTCTGCAGAAGAAAGAGAACACAAAAAAGCTTAGCCCATTTTATTAAAAAATTGTAAAAAGAGCTATGAGCCTATGGTTGCCAACCCCAGCCTGGGAAATTCCTGGTGATTGGGGAGGGGGAAGCCTGGAGAGGGCAGTGTTTGGGGAGAAGAGTAAGCTCACTGGAGATGTGATGTTGCAGGGTCCACCTTCTGAAGGTCCACTTCCTCTAGGGAAAGCTTAACTGGAGGTTAGCAATCCTCAAGCTAGATAACCGAAACAATGGACATCCTCTTCAATACATCGATAGCTCGTTAAGATGCATGCTGTTACACGCAGCGCTCTCGCTTCCAGTCGCTGCCTCCCCAAACTTCCCGCTTCCGACACTTTCTCTGCCACCTCCGATCCAACCGGCAGCAAGCGACAGATGCAGCCTCCTCGCACACGGAAGGGGCCCTCAAGAGCCATCCTCACAAAGGAGGGGGGGGAGCCCGGCGGAGCTCACAAGCAGTCCCACGTACCTGCCCGGCCCCGCGCCTGAAGAGGGTCGCCTCGTCCTCGCTCCGAGCAGCCATGGGAGTTCCCGGGCCCGTCCAGTCCGCCAAGCCAGAAGGTGCTCACTCAGCAGCACGCCACCAACCTTGCCGCCGCCATGGCTACCTCATCAGCCAAGGACTGGCAGGGAGGAGCTACCGCCGCAGCGCCGTCTAGGGAGCGAATTACCGACCGCTACTGGCAAGGAGGCCTCGGCTTCTTCCGGGCCGCTTTATCCGGGCGCTTCCTTTCAGGCGGCGCCACAAAGCCTCTCGCGACAAAGCGCGTTAAGTCAGAGATCCTGCTCAGTGATCCTTTGGCTTTACATAATCAGTTGAGATCGGGTTACCTCCACTCCGATAACACCGACTTTTGAGTTTTATCTTTTACTCGGCATTTTTTTTAGCCTTGCATTGCAATGAGACACGGCTGTTTCTTGGGGACGTAGGGGGGGGGGGGGGTGAGGTGCGAAGCGTTCGCCTGCCTCCCTGAGCCCCGGGGTGGTGGCGCCGGCGGCCATAACTTTTTAAAGACCCCCTAACGAAGCCTGGGGGGGCGGAAATGGCCTCTCGCGAGAGAACGTTTCGCACCTCCGCCCACCCCGCGGCCGATGCAGCTGCTGGCGCCGGGGGCCATAACTTTTTAAAGAACCCCTAACGAGGCCTGGGGGAGCCGAAATGGCCTCTCACGTGTGATGTCCGAGCGGCGTTGCTATTCTGGTTATTCTAGTTACCTTTTGACGTCCTACTTTAGCATTCCAGTCCCCTATGATGATGAGGACATCATTTTTCGGCTTAAGTTCTAGGTGTTGTAGGTCTTCATAGAACCGGTCCACTTCAGCCTCTTCTGCATCAGTGGTTGAGGCATAGACTTGGATTACTGTGATGCTGAATGGTTTGCCTTGGATTCGGACTGAGATCATTCTGTCATTATTGAGTTTGTATCCCAGTACTGACTTTTGCTCTCTCTCATTGACTATAAAGGCCACACCATTTTTTCTATGAGATTCCTGGCCACAGTAGTAGATATAATGGTCTTCTGAGTTAAATTCGCCCATTCCTGTCCACTTTAGTTCACTGATTCCTAAAATATCGATGTTCAGTCTTGCCATCTCATTTTTGACCACATCAAGCTTACCTTCATTCTTAGATCTTATATTCCAGGTTCCTATGCAGTATTGTTCTTTGCAGCATCGGACTTTCCTTTCACCATCAGACACATCCACAACTGAGCGTCCTTTCGGCTTTGGCCCAGCTGCTTCACTCTTTCTGGGGTTACTTGTACTTGCCCTCTGCTCTTCCCCAGTAGCATATTGGACACCTTCCAACCTGAGGGGCTCATCTTCCGGCGTCATATCTTTTAGCCTTTTGATACTGTCCATGGGGTTTTCTTGGCAAAAATACTGGAGTGGGTTGCCATTTCCTTCTCCAGTGGACCACACTTGGTCTGAGTTCTCTGCTGTGGCCTGTCCGTCTTGGGTGGCCCTCCACGGCATAGCCCACAGCCTCATCGAACCACGCAAGCCCCCTCGCCACAACAAGGCAGTGATCCATGAGGATTGCTAACCTCCAGTTAAGCTTTCCCTAGAGGAAGTGGACCTTCAGAAGGTGGACCCTGCAGCATCACATCTCCAGTGACTGCCCTCTCCAGGCTTCCCCCTCCCCAATCACCAGGAATTTCCCAGGCTGGAGTTGGCAACCATAGGCTCATAGCTCTTTTAATATATTTTTTAAAAAATGGGCTAAGCTTTTTTGTGTTCTCTTTCTTCTGCAGAGCGATGATTCTGATATATGGGATGATACAGCCCTCATAAAGGCATATGATAAAGCAGTTGCATCTTTCAAGGTAAAGCACATCCTGATGGTGTTAGTGCAGAATGTAACCTGCAGGGATTTAAATTTGCATGGAAGCTGCTCTCTAGAATTTGTTTCCAGAAGCAAGAGTTTTCAAGGAAAGAAGGAAGACTATCATCACTTGAACAACAGGCAGAACAAAAACACACAGTTCATAGATGCAGCACCTCCTAGGCCATTTCCACACCAGTTATTTGTCCCAGGGTTGATACTGTTGGGAAGTGTTTTTCCCCTGCTTCTTCATAGCATCGGTGCCTCCATTAATCTCCTAGGTTTTCCCTGGTGTTTCTTCAGTGTTTCCCAGATCTACTTTAGCTGCAGAGTTTTGGGAAAGATTACAGTAAAGCCTGGATGGTTGCCACATGCTTGGGAATATTCAGGTTTTCCTGGTCACAGTTTCATGGCAGCAGTTTTCCCTCCCCTCCTTCTTGCAGCAGCCATCCCCCACCCCACCACCGAGGGTTATTTTGTTTTAATCAGCAGCTGACTACTGTTATATAAGTAAAACAATCTGTGTATCTGGTTCTTTGACTTCATAGCTTTAACTCTCTTTTTTCTTACAAAGTAAGTTTCTCTTCTCTTGTTGTGGAGATATAAGTAGAAAAGCACATCTCTTCAACAAAAGGGGCTATGGGGGCTGGGAATTTTAAAAAGTTGGGAACTCAAAGAACCTGGTATATAGGTTGTTATTACATCAATAAAATGATACTCAACTGAGGTTTTGCTGGCAGAAGAGGGAGGAAGAGTGACGTAATTTGATGACTTTTCATCGTTAACTTCAGACCCTTAGTCTACATGGTTCTTTATCCGTGTTTCTGCTGCAACCCTCAGAACTGCAGGGGAATGAGAATGTGGGAAGGACTGCAGGATATAGCCCATCCTGTTCAATCTGACAGCCTCTGATACGACACAGAGATTGGTCATGACTGGAGAATCCTCTTTTAGTGCATTATCACTGAGTAATATACAATGCAGACAAGATTGCCAGCATTTTTCTTGTGATTAAATTATATTGCTTGCAATGAATTCAGTCTTCTATTGCCAACTTAGTTTTCTAACAAAATATTCTATAATTAACAACATTCAAATATAGCAGTCTTGTTGCCATTTCATCCTGATTCTGGGTGATGTTTTCCCTTGTGTGCATTCTTAAATGGATGGAAGCAGCCAAAAGACATGCAGTTTTGTCAGTTAGCAATCATCAAGATGCATTTCTCAGTCTGTCATGTAGCTGGTGAGGAGGGCTCCTTGCTATTTGCAGCCTTGAACAAGACATTAGAGCAGCTGTTTTGAAAGTAGAGTTGCTGTAGTCTGTTTCAAGAATGGAAGCAGTGCAGCTAAAGTATGAACCTCAAAGACCTGGGCTAATCTGGGCCCATACCTCCCAAGTACTGCTTAGATTAGAATATGAACCAGTCCTCCCATTGTATGCTCCTGGTTATGGTTGGGCTTCTCAGCTGAATAGGTTGCTGTGACATGGGGTTCAAGGAACAAACTATTTATTAAAAGGGCTTTTTGTTTTATACTTTCTCTAACAGAATGCTTTGAAGAATGGTGACTGTTCAGAGCCTTTGGATAAAACTGAGCAAAACGCTGGAACAAAAAGAAAAAATAACAAAAAGAACAAGAGTAGGAAGAAAAGTAATGCTGCGTCACAGAAACAGGTCATTGTGGGGGGCACTTGTGACAACATACACAAAGGCAATATCTTTTTAAAGCTTCTAGAATTTTTATTTTTTTATCTTGAAAAATTTGTTTTTCCAAGTTGAAGTTGTTCCCAAGTACAAGACGTGGGAATAGCAACCCGAATCTTCAGTTGCCTTCTCTCTCCAGTATGTTGTACCTGAAATTTTACAGGAAAGAGAAAACCTGATGTTTGAGAAGCCCTGTGATACATTGCTGTTTTGATTATATGTTCGTTTCAGTAGCACTGTTCCATTTTTCAGTTTTTGAAAAGGGAATGATACTTTTGTAACCAGAATGATGTATTTGTAGAAGTTGCTGGAGAAAGTATCACATTTGATTCATTGTTTTCAGGTGGTGCACTTGAAAACTAAGGGGACCAATATTAAAGTTTTTAACTGTTTTGAAAATTTTAAAAGGACAGGTCACTTAGTAGCATGACATTAAACAGAGAGCTGTCTAAAACTAACATAGCTTGGACTACGAAGGAAGCAAGTTACTTATATTAACTGTTCAATGAAGGTATAAAAGTATACATTGCAAACAGCCTGCTTGAAGCAAAGATCTTTTTGCACAAAAGAAATTTTGCTAATATAGGAGGTTGGTGGAGAAACTATTTTTGGAACATTACATGTGTAACTTTTTTTCTTTCAATACAGTGGAGAGTTAATGATGCATGCAGTGCAGTTTGGTCTGAAGATGGTAATGTGTACCAAGCAATTATTAACTCAATTAACTGGAAGAAAGGGACATGTGTAGTGGTTTATACTGGATATGGAAATAGGGAAGAGCATCGGCTGTCTGATCTGCTGCCACCAATAGATGCTGAGGGAACAAATGAGGAAAGAAGTGCTGGGGAGGTGAGTGCCAAAATAAACTTCCCATTTTACTGAAATGGGAGAAACTTCTTTTTTATATATATACATTTTAATGAGCAGTAAGCTTAGTTTACATATCATAGTCAGAGAAATACAAAGACCATGAAAAGTAGAAGTTGACTTGAGACTATACACTGAAACAACCTTAACATTATTAGTAGAAGGAACAGAAATTTAAATATTGAATGCAGTGAGAATCACTTAAAACGAGGTACCTAGATATAAACACATTTCGTTCTCCAGGGGATGATGGAAGGTATACCAGCTTCACAGGAAAAAACAATCAAAGAGAGAACCAAAGTCTATAATCTTTTTTCCAGGCTAGGATGACTCTGATTTCTAAATAATCGAAGACAGGATTCCAGGTGTCTTCATAGCTACTTTGTTGTGCACTATGTTGCCAACTACAGGAAAAGGGGTTATGTACAATTTTCTCCAAAACACAGACCTCACAAAGTTTCTCATGCCATCTATCTAAGGACGGTCCAACTGGATTTGACCAGGAGGCAGCGATCATCAAACAGCCAACTGCTAATAATTTGGAAAGAAGTTTCCTTGTCTCTTTGGGGATTTGGATATCATTCCAGATATCAAATATAAACAACTTCAGAGAGAAAGGGAGCTTAGTAATTTGGAAGACTGCCTTTGAGACAGCCAACCAAAAATGGTGGATATTACAGCATTTCCACCACAAGTGAACTGGAGAACCTTTTTGCCCACAGAGCTTCCCACAATTAGGACTGGAGCCCTGATTTATTTTATGTAATCTATTGAGATAGAGATACGGTATCGTAATCGAATGAATAGTAGATTTATTTGAAGGTGAACTCCAAATAGCTTCCCAATCTTTCTCCCACATGTCAACATATGTTGGTAGTTTAGAGTATAGGACCTCAATAAGAATTTGGTATATTTTAGACAAGAGACCTTTCATAACCTTCAACAATCCAGTTAGAGGGGTCTCAAATGTAGTTAGCGGTCTAAGGAAGCCCATTTTGGTAGCGTAGGAAAGTATTATTCTCATTTGAAAATATTGGAACCATGGTGCTTGGCCCTTGTAACTTTAATTCTACTTCGTGTTTGGATTCTCCCTTGTTCTCCAGTTCCTGATATGGTCAAGGCCCGATTTGGACCATAACCGAAACTTATTTATGTCCAAAACTGGGAAGCCACCCCAAGTTTAAAACACAGGCCATTGGAGAAGGGCTCTGGTTCTAGTTTCTATTTTAATCTGTCCCAAACTGATAGAGTGTTTTCAAAGATAGTGCTTAAAGCTATTTTAACAGCTCTTGCAGGATTTTATAGTATTTATTTATTTAGATTTTTACCCCGCCCTCCCAGCAAGGCCGGCTCAGAGTGCACCCATGTGGCAGTTGTGGTTGTCCAACCAGAGTTTGCTCTCTGTTCCCTTGTGCGGGCGTCTTAAATCAGCCTTGGCCTGTACACAGGCTTTTTTGGTGGCAGCACTTACATTGTGGCATGGCCTCCCTGGTGGGGGGGGGCTGATGGGGGGAGGGGTGAATTTACATACCCAAATAATTGAGGCAGGCCTTTAAATGAGGATTGGATTGTTGCTGGGGGCAATAGTAGTTGGCTGCCAATTATCTGTTCTGTTTTAAATTATTGCTTTTATGTATTGTGTATTATTAAAATATGCTTTGAGTCCATGATAGGAAAAGGGCAGATTAAAAATGACTTTAAATTAATAGAAGAAGTGGACAGTATGTAGTTGAAATACGAGTATAATTGCACCCGCCTAACAATGTTTGAGTCCATTGGCACCTTTAAGACCAACAAAGTTTTATTCAAGGTACCCACCTATATAGGAGCTTAATTTGATCTTGTGCCTTCTGTTTGTTTTTAAAAGTTATACCATTGCCTTATTCTACCCTTAAGGCAGCTTGCAACTACCAGCAGACCCTACCAAATGAAATTTAGACAGTTAAAAAGAATTACAGATATCACATTAAAAGTTCCACTTCCTTCAGATAAAATGATGAATATCATTCATCCGAGAAGTTTCTACCCAAAAGGAGCCCTTTATTAGAGCTCCAGAAAGCTTCCACTGAGGGTGCCCTCCAAGCCTCTGGAAGTCCATTCTATAGGACCAGTGGCACAACAGAAGAGGCATGAGACCTTGCCAAAGAGGCATGCACCTGGCAAAGGGAGTTTTTTGTGAGGGTCATAAGAACATAAGAGACACCAATGTTGGATCAGGCCAAAGGCCCATCCAGTCCAACACTCTGTGTCACACAGTGGCCAGAAATACCAGGAGCCATCAGGAGGTCCACCAGTGGGGTCAGTGTGTCTAATGATCTATACAGCTACACGAGTTCACATAGGGAAAGGCAGTCCATACCGTGCTGTTTGCAGTACTTTGGTAGTTGCTTTTAAAAGCTGTATTCTCTAACGTCACAAAACCCGAATGCAGGAAGGCCAGAGTGTATTTATTATTTGCACCTTGTAAGTGACATTTGAAAATGTCTGTGCCAGATTTCTAATTACAATTATATTTTCTAGAATGCAAATGAGACTCAGTATTCAACCGATGAAAGTGACCTGTCCTTCCAGTCGCCTGGAAATAAACACAATCATACAAAATCAGCACAATGGAATTCGCACTTCCCTCTACTACCACCACCGCCACCACCGGGATTGGGAAGGGTAAGGGAAAGTCATCTGGTTACGACATACCAGCCTTCAGCTGTTTTAGTGGAGTGGTGCCTTTCTTTAAAAGGCTTAATCGTAATTGGTTTTGTACTACCAGACTAAGGGCTACAGCTTTATGAGTAATGATTTCTACTGAGGGGAAGAGATGAGAGCCTTGTTCCATTCTGAATGTCTGTGTTGAAATTAATGTATTTTGGAAAGCTACACACAGAACCTGATGCCTTTTGAACATAAATATTTATTTAGGTTCTAGAATGTTGTGAAATTTTTCAATTCTTTGACATAATTTTCTGGTTGGGGTACATTGTGTCAGTTTGCTTGCTTAGCTTTATAGTCATGGATATAATGAAGACCTTCTTTTGTTGCATGTTAAACAACTTGAATGTAGACTGGGTCAAAGTTCAGTGGACCTCCATCTTTCTTATCAGGCTGGCCTCCACCATTTTCATCAGGACCACCGGTGAGTGATAGCTAAAAAGGGTAACAATAAAAATGCTCTTAAGTCCTTGTTCTGTCAAACAGTAGATATAAGGGATTGGATACACTGAAGGATTTTTTAAATTTTTACTTTAATTTTTTTAAGGGATACAGAAAGAAAAAAGGGAATAGGGAAGAATGCATAGGAAATATAATTACCAAAACCATAATGTCAGGGCAATTTTACAGATATTGAGGACATTCCTTTATCAGAATATATATGTATATATAAAAAGTATATGATATAATAGCATAGTAAACATATAACACAATATATATGGTGTAATGGCATAAGAATATTGCTTAAAATATATATCACATATTAACTTAAATTAGTATAACGACCTACTGATGTATTCTACCATTTTCTCATACTATATTATCATTTTTATCTTATCGATCTTATCTGTTATATGGTATGACATAACCTCATAGAAATTTTATAAACTTTTAACACAACAGTTTGTTATAATAAACACATACAAATAATATATTTTATATTTCATATTCAAACTGTATTATCATATAATATTAGACCATTCAGATGTATAACTAGACAGATTGGTTATAGTAGTCACAGAAAACTCGCCATTTTTCTAATTCCTCTTTCAGTCTTTGGCTAATGTAGTTTGTCAGTTTTGCCATAACTGTGTATTCTTGCTTCTTGTCTACCCAGTTCTCAAGAGTTGGGCAACCCTCAATTTTCCTCTTGGCAGCAAATACTACTCTTGCTGCTGTTAGCATGTTGTCTGAACAGTTCATGCACTGTTGACACACAGAAGGATTCCCACAGATGGAAGGGGGATGGTTATTGCTGATTTCCCCCATCCACTGCAGACTTCTGAGTGTCCCTGTGGACTCTTCCTGCAGGCTAGCGTTTGAGGGGAGGCGTTTGGGGCTGCAGCAGATAGAGGGAGATGGATTTTCCCTCATGGGATCCAAGTCAACGTGTCAAACCTATTTCTAGTCTACTTCACATTGCAGGAAGGCATTTGCATACCTGAATGCTCTTGCATATAAAAAAATCACTATCACAGAAAGCTAGTGATATAGAGGTAAAGGTTGTAGTCTAGCTTACCTTGGACATTCTAGTTTCTACATACGGGCAGAGAATTGGATGCATACAGTCAGCTAGCTGCAGTCTAGAATAGGGATACTCAAACACCTACTGGTTTGACTCCCATCCTGTTCATCTTTGTTGATCAGGGAGTTGACTGATTGACAGGCTGTTCAGCTGTTTGTACCTTGTTTGTATCTGTTTGCAGGAGCAGGTTACTTGGAACCATCAGGACCCACCTACCCATTGATGAGGGATCAGCTGGGAGTCAGCTTCTGATCTCCTGCTGGGGAAATCAACTGTGTTGATTGCAGGGATCAGCTGGAAGTCAGGTTCTTGTTCTGTCTCAGCTGGGATAGCTTGCTATATCTCAGCAAGTCTGGGGGCGGCATTTTCCTTCTCCCCACTCAATTTGGGCTGCAGAGGACAGGAGCAGGATTTTCCTATTCTCTGGAACCTATTTTGTCAGTTGTGGGTTCAAGGTAAAAAACAATCATTGCTTTAATCTCTACATAAAGCTTTGTGAGCTGCAGAGAACAGAGGTGATCTGCTCCTATTCTTTGTAGCCCAAGATGAAAACTTACCCACTACCACCTGAAACCACTTCTGCTGCACAGAACAGGAAGGATCTGCTCCTTTTCTTGGCAACCCAAGCTTACACTTTGAGGTGGAAGGGAAAAGAAGCCAGTCACTCCTGTTCTCCCCACCCCAAGCATCTGCTTGTGTTCCAGCTGCGATAGAGAAGCTTAGGTGCTGGGGTAGAGGACAAATGGACAAACTAAGTTAATATCACCTGAGAGTCAGCTTATGATTTCCACCTCCAAATTTCTTTCAATATCCCTGCGAGGTCCCTCCACCTCCAAACTTCTCACTAGATTCAGCAAAAAGTTTAGGAGGCAGTTTCTGCTTGGAAGCCATTTGAGTTGTTCATCACCCCAGTTGGTTTGGTGTTACTGGTGCATACTCTCAAGCTAGTTGTATGGATTACTTTTAGTTTTGGGGTCCTGATGAAGTGAGCAAGGTGCTTCAGAGTGTGTGGTCCACCATATTTGATCTTGACTCTTGCCCCCATGGCTGATAGTATCATGCCAGGCTGAGTTGGTTGATTGGGTCCAGGTAATAAATGAGAAAATGTAGTTCCAACCATTTTGGAAGATGTGGTTGTGTGAGACCCTTCCTGAAGAAGGTTTCCTTGGACACAAATAACCTAAACAATTACTACCCAGTGGTTAATATTCCATTCCTGGGCAAGGTGCTCAAGTGGGTGGTGCTACACAGCTTTAGGTGGTCTTGGAGGAGACCGGTTATCTAGGCCCATTTCAGTCCCGATTCAGGCCTGCATTTTGGATGGAAATGGCCTTGGTGTTGAATATGTGTACTACGGTATGTGCAGCTTCCCTAGTCTGGCGTAGCCAAGGCACAGACTTATTTCTTTTACTTAATTTTTGGCAAGAACTGGATGTTCATACTGCTGATTATATTGGCTTATTTTAGGCTCTTCTGCTTTGTAAATTTGTTGTGATCGTACTTTTGTGAACTCGTGTCTCTGCATGCATTAGTCGAATTGATGTCTTGGCCTTTCTTTTTCTTCACCTTCCTTCCCATGTTCTCTTGTTTAAGATTTAAGGCAAAGTGAATATGGTAACATGATGCGAACACACTCCCAGTAAATATTATCCCTTAATTCACTTAACTTGGCATTAGAAGCCTCTTAAACGATTGCATGTAATGAAACCTGATGAAAGATTCTAGAGCTGCACAGTATACTACAACCACTATAGGACTTGGGCATTTATTATTTATTTATTTAATTAATTTCATTTATACCCTTCCCTCCCTGCGGATTTAGGTCTGAAATGTTTTGTTTGAAAATATGGGTGCTAGTTTTAGATGACAAATAATATCATGCTAGCTTGTGGATTATAAATCTGAAAAATGTACACATTGTAGAGTTTTTCTGCTTTTAAAAACTTTCTAAAGAGAAACCAGCCAGTTCAGTATAAACTCTCTTGCTTTCTAGTTGATTCCACCACCTCCACCTATGAGCCCAGACTCTTCAGAAGATGACGAAGCATTAGGAAGTATGTTAATAGCCTGGTATATGAGTGGTTATCATACTGGCTACTATCTGGTAAGAGAGAAGTCTTTTTTTTCTTCCTGGAATGCAGCTTAGCTATTTGACTCCTTACGTTAACCCAATGTGAATGGAATAGCCTTTTGTGTGGCTATCTTAATCTAATAAAAAAAGCAAATTGTAAATCAAGCCATTATGGGTGAATGCATCTGTTACCCATCACCTTAGGGACCCAGACAACCAATGGAATTTGACTTTAAAACAAACCCCTAAATTCAAACAGAGCCACATTTAGTCCAGACCCATCCCATCACATGTGTCTGCATTATTTTCTGTGAGAAAAACAATAATCTTTCATGGGTGGAGGTATCCTCGGAAGGGCACTGCACGTGGGGAATTCAGTGTGGTGTTGACATTTGTCTTGGTTTCTGCTGTGCTACAAAAAAGGAGTCATGGAAGTGGAAATGCTGTTAAAATGGTTCTGCCGTTTTCTTATTTAAGATTAAAGCAAAAAAAAAAAACCTAAATCAAATTTACATTGCCTTGGCTAATCAAAACTTAACACTGATCCACTGGGATAGTGTTGAATGAATCTATGACCTTTTTAAAAAAAACATGCAAGTTTTTTTTATTACAGACCTACTGTATGAGTATAAAACCTGGAAGGAACTCAGACCACATGCTGCTCTCTTCCAGCATTTTTGGTTGTAGGAGTAATGAATGATGTTTCACTATTGAGATGTAATATTGTGAACAACTTAGCTGACCAGCAGTCTGTTTCATGAAGTTGTGGCCTCCTGATTGTCACTGAGATTGTTGCTAAGTATTCAGACAAGTCCCACATGGGGGTGGGGGGCTGATGGAAAAGACATCTACACTTGCAGTGCAATCCTAGGCAGAGTTACACCTTTCTAAGACCATTGACTTCAAGGGACTTAGAAGGGTGTAACTCCTCTTAGGAATGTACTGTTGTTGGTTGCCTGTTTCAGGGATGTTTTCTCTTCCCATCTGACACTTCTAGTGTATGTGACCAGAAAAACCTTTATAGCCTGCTCAGTGCTTCTGTTGCCCGCTCTCACCTCTGCACACAACCCCAAAAGTGCTGTGTGCAAAACCAACATAATCCTGGGGATATATCTTATTGGTCTGGACTTTTTTGGAGGGAACATTTGCATTAGCAAAAATTTCATATTATAAACCACTTTAAAATTGGATCTTAGTCTTCAGGTTTGCTCTCTGGGAAACGTAAGGGGATATGCAGTCCCTTAGGTATGCTGGACCTGACCATAAAGGGCTTTAAAGGTCAAAAACAGCACCTTGAAGCGAATCCGGTATGCTATCGGCAGCCAGTGCAAAACTTTTAGCGCAGGCTGGATGTGCTCCTGCATAGAGAGACCCATCAGCAGCCTGACCGCAGCATTTTGCACTAGCTGCAGCTTCCAGATTTGGGACAAGGGCAGCCCCATGTAGAGAGCATTACAGTAGTCTAATCTTGAGGTGACCATCGCATGGATCACTGTTGCCAAGTTGTTGCGTTTGAGGAAGGGAACCAACTGCCTAATTAGCCAAAGTTGATAAAAGGCTGACTTGGCCATGGCTGCTACTTGGGCCTCCACTGTTAAAGAGGCATCCAAGAGCACTCCCAAACTCCTAACCTTTGGTGCTGGCACCAGCTGTGCCCCATCGAAGGTCGGGAGTGGGATCCCTATCTTCGGGCCATCCCGGCTCAGGCACAGGACCTCCGTCTTTGTCAGATTCAATTTCAGTCGACTCAGTCTAAGCCAACCAGACATGGCTTGTAACGTCTGGTCCAGATCTTCCGGTGTAGAGTAAGACTGGCCGTCCAACAACTGATAGAGTTGGATGTCATCCGCATATTGGTGACATCCCAGCCCGTGCCTCCGGTCAATCTGGGCAAGGGGACACATATAAATGTTAAACAGCATCGGGGAGAGTACTGCCTCTTGAGGCACTCCATAAGTCAGTGGGTACCTTCGGGATGGCTGTTCCCATAGTTGCCACCCTTTGTCCCCGACCCCGAAGAAAGGATGCAAACCATTGCAAGGCAAAGCTCCTGAATTCCAGAGTCGGCAAGGCAGTGGATCAGTAGCTGATGGTTGACCGTGTCGAATGCTGTCGACAGGTGCAACGGCACTGCTGATCCGCCTCGATCCAGGTACCTCTGGAGGTCATCTGTGGCAGTTCTACCAAAAAGCAGAGGATTCAGGAGAGCTGGGCAGGAGGTCATGTATAAACCTTCTTAAAAATATGCAGCCACATGGAATCCAGTGTTCATTTACAACAGGGAGTCCCAGATGATTAATCTTGTAACTAAAGAACTACTCATCTCTTTAAGAAAGTATTGTTTTAGCGGCATACCATAGTGTTGGTTTTATCCTGAATGTGGGCTGCCTCTGTGGTTGTCTGTGCCTCCTGTGGCATCCATTTTGTGGTTGTGCCCACCATCTTGCCTCGCAATTCCAAAGGTGCTCACAGACTCAAAAAGGTTGAGGATCCCTGGCATAGATAATCAGATTTTATTTTCACTTCTGTTCCCTATTGATAATATATTGGTCTGTAATACTCATTGGTCTTCAGTTACAAACAAGTCTGTATCCTGTATTGCACAGGGTTTAAAACAGAGCCGAATGGAAGCTACATCAGGGAGAGATGCCCATTCTAAGTAGCTGTTGTAAGTATTAATTTTGTTTTAGTTGAGAGCAGGTTGTACAAACTGTATCTTGGAGACACAACCCAAATACTGGGCTGTTAACATTGTTTTTCTTGTGGATGCAAGTGTAGGGGTGGGAAGAACCATCACACATTCTTTCTTGGAAGTCCATGGAAAGGATGCTGTGAAAACAGTGATAGGTTGACTTATTGCTGCTTTGTGGGTTTAGCCTGTAGATGTGTGTTTTTTTAAACAAAACTAAGTCAGCCATTCTCTCTGAAATGAGCAGTTGCAAAGTGACTGAACTTTCATCCATGAAATCATTTCCATGGATTCACTAGCAATTCCTTCAAGGATAATGAAATGACATAACTAAAAAAGTTCAGGACACTGGAAGTAACGTACAAGGAAGTGCCTATTATTGCTAAATATACCTCTTTTTGAGAGTGCATGTGAAATACAACTGGGTGGCTGATATAATGTCCATCTATTTCCAATACAAATGGGTCGTCTTGGACGGAAGATTAACTTAATATCACCAGCATATGTACTTATAAATTGATCTAACATACCTGTATGTTCTCCTTTTAAAAACTAGGTGTAAAAACTCTCTCCCATGGAGAGGGATGTCCCACATGTACATTCTTCGACAAAGATGAAGTGTTCACTGAGATGAAGATCACTGACTGTATAATCCTCAGAGGCATCACTTACCCATTTTGTACAAATGTTACTTTGCTAGCAAGATTTCTGGTTTAACCCTGCTTTTATCATCTATTGTCCCGCTCTTGAGTACCTGTTCTGGACTAATTCATCTTCCTGGGCATCTGGTTATCTAGTCTTGCACAGATTTAAGACAGTCCTCCATGGTGACAGAATCTCTGCTAAGCTTGGCAGTGATAATAGCCATAAGAGAAACTAGTTGTATGGAATGTAAACACTGACTGTTGGTTTGAAGATTCCATAGAAAGCATAATCTTTTTTTCTTCACTGTTTTTAAGATCTTGGTTGGAATTGATTCATGCATACAGTAAAATACTTTTGACAGGCTTACATCTTTGCTTATGTACTTAACTTTCTAGAAGTGTTACCAGTCAGTGATTTTTATAGATGCTTGTGGTTGGTTACCCAATGGTCCAGACAGCGGAGCTAGAACAACTCTGTTCAAGTGAATAGGGATCTATCGCTTATCAGTGATGTCACTGAACTTGTTTAAAATACTCATCAATAAACTTGTTTTTTTCAAATTTTACTTTAATTTTATTAGCCTGTAGAGCCGTTTTTTCTTTTACAGTTTACATCTAGCTGAGATAATGGACTTGAATACAGGAAAGATATAATGGAAATCACCATAGGTGTCTTGCTTTAGTATGATTCTGAATGCTTAAAAGCCAGTACAAATAAGGTCAGTTTTCCTCAGTGGTGTGATTGTGGAATTATCGGCACCCTCACGGTGATTGCCTTGGTCCATTATGATAGAGTGCTTCCATGTAGCATGTAGGATCTAAGATGCCACATTAACACTGAAGTAGAATGCACATAGCCATCAGTGTAACTTAGCATTCATCTTAAAAGTGAAACTTTTATCCTCAAGGTAACTTAGTAAAAGTGAGATTTCTTGTGTGACAATCGTTCTTTCACTACTGAGGAACCTACCCCAGATTTTGTGACAGAACATTGTTTGCACTAATTTAGGGTTGGATCCAGAGTAAATGGGCAATTTCCACTTATTCATCCTTTGTTCTACAAGCACACAGACACCCACGTTGTTCCTTAGGGTCCCCTATCCCCCAAAAGTAGCATTTTGAGGAATTCACTTCCTCCAAGAATATTTGATCTAGAGTTGACCCATAATCTTTCAGAGAACTGCACACTTCTACATATCTTTTAATCTTTAAAGCATCTGCGATTCCACTAAATTATTCCAGTATTTGCCACAAGTAACATACAGAATGAATTATTCAAACTGTTCTATACAACATTTTCATTGACTCCCAGGGGATTTAATCTGCTTAATTTTTGTGTGTCTAATACTGATTCATTTTCAAACCTATCAAGCATTTACTTTTTGTTACCAAATCTATAAGCCAGTGTTTACATGGAACCATTTTCTTCTTTCGGTTCTTCTTATAATAGGTGGAAATAGAAAATATCCATTTCCATATTAGACATAAACTTGATGCCTGGGGTTGTTGTCCTTTCATAGCATCAAACATTTTCAGGTCATACACATCAAACAGCCATCCTAGTATGCTAATGGTCTTGAGGCTGGGTAGCCTGGAGATGCACTGAACAAAAGACATCATTGTTGCTGCTTGGCATTTGAACTGGTGTGTGAAAATGCAAGTGAAGAAGGTTCTTCCAGGGGCTTCAGTAATGCTGGGATTTCTCATAAGGAGCCAGAGCTTAAGCTTTTGGAGAGCTACTTTTGCTAGAAAATCAATACAATATGTGAATTGCATTTTAATCATTTTGAATAATTATTAGGACATCAGTCAATATGTAGAAGGAATTTAGCCAAGTTGTGAAAGTAGTATGAGTCGCTGTGATGTTTTTACAAGTATCCCTATCATCTTTCATTTGTTTCTTCTTACACAATGAGATGGTCAAATAAAGGTTTGCCACATGAGAAATCGTCTTATTCACTTGGACTGCATCTCTTTTACTGCATGATCAGTGATTTTTATGGATCATGAATCTGCAGCCCCTAAATTAGAAAGTTCTGTGAATTTGCAAAAATGTCTGTTCAAATACGGGATGCAGCATGCAACTCCTGCCAGAGAGAAGCACAGGAATACAGAGAAAAGGGACTGGCTTCCCCGAAAACCTACTAGAGACACATTTCAGGGTACCAGCTCATTAGAGAAATGGGAACGTTCAGTAAAATGAAGAGAATACACGGGAGATAAAAGAAGAAAAGGAGGCTTCCACTGGTAAGATGTGGGGGGGGGGGTTCCAAGTACAGTGCTTTCAGCTGATAAATAGAATTTTTCAGTGTGTGATCACACAAAACTATATGTTCTATGAGGCAAGGGCAGCTAATTTTTATGCCTTGTATGGCGCGCCTTGCAACACTTATTATTAACTCAACATTGTGGGGAAATGGATTTTTCTTTTTCTGGAATATTCCTGTGATGAGAATTCTGTGAAAAATTTACTGGAGGCAGTGGAATTAATTTTAAGAAAATATTTAATTTGCGAAATCGTCTTATTCTGATTTCAGTAAATGACAACTTAGGAGATATTTGTTTACACATTATAAAATGTTGGAAACAGTGAAAATCAGTGGACCCAGAAGATGGTAATACTTTGTCCCAAAGTGAGAATACCAACAGTTTTGAGCAAATTAGACCTTCATCAAGAAATGTGAAAAATGACTGTCTTCACTTGCTCTAAAAAGAGCTTGCATTTACCACTTACAGGTCCTGGAGCCTTTTTAAAAGAAACACCCAATGATCCTTATATTCCAACAGACCCAGGCATTTATTTGTTAAATTTTGTCCTCCCAAAAGCTTCCATTTTATCCTTGGAAGTATCTGGATGTTAGACGAACTGGCTCAAGGTCACCCATTGAACTCTATGGCAGAAAAAGTATTTGGGGGGAAAACCTGCTTATTCTTCACCCAACACTCTAACCCCTACATGATGCTCACTTTCATTCTAATAATTTCCCTATTGTCATTTATTCCAATATTATAGCTGAGTAACTGTTACCAAGAGAACAAAGTTTGAGTCCAGTGGCACCTTTAAGACCCAACAAAGTTTAATTCTCTGTGTAAGTGTTTGTGTGTGTGTGCACACAAAAGCTTATACCTAGAATTAAACTTTGTTGGTTTTAAAGGTGCCACTGGACTCACACTTTGTTCTGTTGCTTTAGACCCACGTGGCTACCCGACTGAATCTGTGACCAAGGGAGAATGGGTCCTTTCAGTTGTCATGACAGAGGATTGTCTGTGATGGGCATGAAAATAGGTTGTTCTTCTCTTCCCTTTGTACACAGAATGCAGCTGAAAACCTCCAGATTTGGTTAGCCTTGATTTAAGCTCCAATTTGCCATGTGTCCACTACAGATGTATGAGATAACTGGAGATTTATGTCCTACCAACAAACCAAGATTCTATACAGTTTAACCCTCTTGGAATCCCAATTGTGTGGAAGAAACTGACTAGGGTTTGTCCAGGCTCCCGCATCACAGTGAAATGGAGCTTGATCCAAAGGCCTCCCAAACCTGGAAGCTTCTGATAATGCTCCATGCACGTGGGACTGGGAAGAGCAAAAGGAGTGCCCCCCAACAAGCTCTCTTCACGCCTCTCATCGATAGCCTATTTGTTGAGACCTCAGTACAGCCAATGAATTGCCAACATTGTTACATATGCAATGCTCTAATTTCATTTCCGAAGTTTCTTTGTTCAATTTCTTCTGTCACGTATAAAAACTATTCTCTTTACAAGCAGAGTGAATATTTGGATGTTTTTGTAATACATACTGTCCAGCATTTACACATTTCGTCTTTTCTACTCTTGTACAATTGGTGAAAATGGCAAAATAAATTCCCAAGTCAAATTTAAGCTTTTTGACTGGGGGTGTTGTTCTTTCATAACTTCAAACATTTTCAGGTCATCCGCATCAAACAGCCACCCTATCATGTTAATGGTCTTGAGGCTGGGCAGCCTGGAGACACACTGAACAAAAGACCTCACTGTTGCTGCTTCACATTTGATTGAATGTGTGTGAAGGCGACTGAAGTCTGCCTCATGTAACTTTGGCATATTGGATAATGTTTGGAAGAAGGTTCTCCAAGCAGACTCCGTAGTGCTGTGATTGACCATGAGGTGCAGGAATTCAAGCTTCTGGAAACCTCCATCAACTGCTACATTTGCTAGAAAACCAACATAACATATACATTTAACTGAATAGTTGAAAATAATTCTACATCCCTTTGTAGAATACTCAAATTTAGACAGATGTAGATTGCAGTTGAACTTCTTCAAAAATTCAGGATAACTCATCTAAGGTCATTTTCATGTGAACATTCAGTCAATACTCATTAATGCTAATTTTTGCTGTATCTCACTGAAGGCTGCTTCAGGTGTTAACAAAGTCTTTGTATCCGTTGGTGAATAACACAAAGACATTCAGCAGGAGTTCTGTGCCTCCCAGACTCATACAAGTGCTTTTCTCTGTGACCATGGTGCATAAGTAGAAGCAGATCTAACATTCTGCAGCCCCCACAACCCTGCTATTTTCTCTGTTTCATAGTGCCCCATGGTTTTGGTTCTGTTACCAAAATCATGCTATGTACACACACGCATGTAAGTTTCTTAATAGAAGCAATAGTGGCTCCATGGTGCAGTCTGAGGAAGAAAAAATGGCACAGAGCAGATGGTTAAAACCACTTCTACCCGTGCACAATGGTCACAAAGAGAAAACAGCATGCATGGGTCTCGGACGTACAAAATTCCCATTCAGTATCTGATACAAAGTTCTTGTGCATAACCCCAACACACAGGAAGACTTTGTAACATACATCATGGCCCTGTATGTTCATGATCAGCAAGTGCTGCTGCACTGAGGGCTGGTGTGGTATAGTGCTGAGAGCATTAGACTACGACCTGGGATAACCAGGTTCAAATCCCTAACTCAACCATTGAGGCCTCCCCAGTGACCTTGGCCCCATCATAATGTCTCATCCTAAACTACCCTCACATGCTTGTTGTTGTGAGGATTAAGTGGATGAGGGGGGAATGATGTGAAAAGTCACATTGAATGAAATACCGCTTTGAGTCCCTGATCTGGGGGAAAAGCAGGATATTAATAAATAAGTACCATATTGTAGTATCATACAAACTGGGTTCACCTGCCAGCTGCTGTAAATTAACTTTTGCAGTGACTAGGGATGGGCACGAACCAGCTCATGATCTAAAGTTGGTGATGAATTTTGGCCAGTTCATGGTTTACAAACTGAAGTTCGTGACACATCAACCCGCACAAACTTTTCATGAACTTTCAAGCAGTTTGTGAATGGATACATTTCCAGACTGTCTTCACTCAAACAAAATGTTTTCCAAATTTCAAAGCAATAGGGGAGGCAGAATTCTCCACCCTTGGAATCACCAATAGTTTCCTTGTGTGTTTGATGTGTGTAGCTTGCACACCTGTGCCTGACATTTTCCCCAAAAGCACTTTCCTAGGGGCATCTTTGGGGGGGGGCATAACTCAGACCCCCTAGGTCCAATCTGCACATAACTTGGAAGGCGTTTAGAGGAGCATCAGGGGAAAGTCCCTTACGAGTTTGATTACTCTAGCCTGCACAGGGTTCGTTCTATGCACCACCTGTCATTTCCCCAGAAAACACTTTCCTGGGGGCACCCTCTTTGGGGGGGGTAACTTGGACCCTGTAAATTCAATCCTCACCAAACTTGGAGAACAGGTAGAGCAGAGTCAGCTGGAGGTGCTCTGCAAGTTTGGTGTCTCTAGTATCCCAGCGGGCATTCTACTGCATCAGGAACCAAACTGGTTTGTTTGGCAGTTAACAGTTCATGACAATTCATGGTTTGCAAAGTGGGCATGCCATAAACCACAAACCAAACCACATTTTCCTGGTTCGTGCCCTTCCCTGGCAGTGACTTCCAGCAAGTGTTGAGCTTTTTGTGTGCAGGGGATTGGATCAGCTGAACAAGTAAAGATTCCTTAATACTTTTATGGGATAGCATCCTTTAATCATTATGTATTTAACTTCCTCCTAACTGCAAAAGATTATTAGCAGAAGATGACAGAAACCAAAAGATTAATTATGGAGATCTCATAAACTCAGGGGAGAATTGACCAGGCAAGATATTTTTCTCAGGATTTAAAGAAGCCTCACCTATTTCCAAAAGGCCTTCATCACTTAAAGCCTGGTTAAACTCCAGCTTTTGAAGATTTGGAATATGACAGCATTGCTGGACAATCACTTTGGCCTCATGAGTTATTCCTTGTCCAATTGGCAGAACAAGTTCCTCCAGTGCCACAAGGCAACTTAACACTGAGGCTACAAAGCAAAGAAAGTTAACTGTTGATAGATAATATACAATTCAGATCCATCCAGATTCCTAAAAACGTATTTTGGAAGGATATAAAATCCCATTTTGAGAAGCTAAACATTACAAGACAAGTGCTATAAGTACAACAACACACACAGGCTGTGGCCTCCAGCTAGCCTATGGAAAACAGTATTACAAAAGTTGCCCTTTAAATGTAGATCCTCCTTTTTGTAACTCAGGAATCAGAAAAGAGACAAGAAAAGGTAGCTGGCAGCACCCCATTCCTAATTTAGACTGTAGACAATGTCAGGTAGGGTTGCCAATCTCCTGGTGGGGCCTGGAAATCTCCCAGAATTGCAGTTGATCTCCAGAGATCAGTTCCCCTGAAGAAAATGGCAGCATTGGACAGTGGGCTCTGTGACATCACATCCTTACTGACCTCCCTCCTCTCCCCAGGATCCACAAAAGTCTGTCTCATATGGAAAACACCAGTGTTACAAATCCACATTACACAAATGTTGCCTGTTGCCAAACTGCTTTCATTTTGGTTCATGTTTACCCTTCCCATCTTGGTAGCAGGACCAGCGGCTCCCCATTTCTCAAAAGAGGCTCAGAAACAAGTCCATTTCCAAGATAAGTGGTGGAGACCTGGCAGTAGTATGAACTCAGGTAAACAGACTGTCTTTGGAAGAAGCCAAATGTTGCCAAGTCTCTAGCCATCAGATTTTTAATCGTGCCACCCTCAGTGTGGGTGGGGCTGCAGACCAAGGTTCTTGGCCACTTCACTGGCTCTTTGGGACCTCCCCTGGGGAATTGTTCCAGGATGCCAGCCTCCAGGTGGAACCTGGAGATTGCCTAGAATTATAGCTCACATCCGGACTACATAGACCAGTTCCCCTACAGAAAATGGCTGCTTTGGAGGGTGGGCTCTGTGGCATTGCACTCTGCTGAGTTCCCTGTTCTCCCCAACCTCCATCCCCATTCCAGGAGTTTACCAACCTGGGTCTGGCAACCTTACCCCCCACCCCCCACCAGTGGCAAGGGGGAACCTGGCAACCCTATCAACCCCAAAATCACATTAATGGTGTTTTGCCATCGTTCCATGCTGCCCAGGATCCTTCATTACCAGGCTCCACTACACCAGTGTGGCCTTCCCTCTTTGCATCCCTCTGCTCCCAGGTAAGTGAGAATGAGCAGCCCAGGTGAGCCATCCTGTGTGTTGACCTTTCCTCCCTCCTAGCTGGTTCCTGTGCAGCTACCCTGGCCTTCAGCCAATCTGCTTCCTCCTTCCTTCCTTCCTTCTGGCCTCCTCTCTGTTTGCTCTGCTGACAGTGGGTTTGCCAGGCCTCTCAAGGGAAGCCTTCTGCCAACATCTTTGTTGGCAGGGAATTTTTAAAAATATATATATATATCAGCGTCACACACAACATGGTATCACTTCTTGGGGAAGCCAGGAAGTGACATCACATAGCTTCTAGGAATTATCAGAAGTGCTATGATTTTACCATACAGCAGCATAACATCATTTCCAGTTTTTTCTGGAAATGACATCATGGTGCACACATTGCTAGCATCCCCCCTTCCCTGTGTCCCCATGCCCCAAGCTCCCACCAGCTGACAGGCATGACATGGCAATCCTAGTTGACAAGTCACAGGCCTGGACTGCACCTCCCCCACTGGCAACACCACATCACTTCTGGCCTGTCTGTGTTTAGATCTGGCCAGGCTTGTCAGAGTGACTTGCCATGATGTGGGCCTCATCACATTAAAAAACCTCATCAGGCCAGTATGGAGGCAGCACAAGGCCTCTCAGTGATTAACCAATATTCCTTTACCCACAGAAGATCCTATTGCACTAGCATTTCTCAAAGACATTTTTTTCCTGACTTAGATTTTCTTTCATAATGATCTAATTTAGAATAATTTAATAGTCTGCCAAAACTGCGCATTTCCTAACAGACCTCAGCTGCCCACACCCTTATCTGCCTAGATATCTCTTCTGTTTTACTTCACTGGCATTTTACCCAGGACCTTGAACCCAGGACCCATTTCTCCCTTCAACCAGTCACATTTCAGTTTCCTCCATGCTCACTTCCAAAAATAATATTTTGTTTTTGGACTCTGAAGCCTTTCCTATAACTGTCTGGGGGCAAGATATTTTCCTCAAATTGAAGTTATGTGATGTGCACTCCTGACTGACTTCACATGACGCAACTGTCTGGCTACAGAAGATTCTCATGGGCATATATTAAGTATTCTCTTCCCCTTCTGTATCTCTGCTTGGTTTACAGCTTTGGGTCACTGCTTGGAGTCTAGCAATGTGTATTTTGCCAGGTATTTTGGTTGGCATGTACCACATGTCCCTGCTCCTCTTCACTTTTTGATTACTTTGGATTACCTGTAGTTCAGACATCTGGAGTCCTACCTCAGGGTGCCAAAGTAATACAATTTCTAGTGAGTTGGGTCTGGGCTCCCCAAATCCAGCTTGCTTTCCTCACACAGCCACTACAAGGAACATCATTTTAAAATACTGCACACATGCCCCTCCAAAATGGGGGAAATTACTTCCCCGGGGCTGTATTGGTTTGGGGGGAAACAGCACAGGGGAAAGGTGGCAGCCCCTCCCCCATGCCACAGTCTTGAGTCAAATCAAGCACCCATGCAATTTTAAAATGACATTCCCTGTAGTTCTTGTGTAGTATTCTGTAGTGTGGCCCTGTGCTCAGATCTCATTCAGATTCACCAGTCTGCACCAGCAAGGTGGGATACAAATTGAAAATAATAAATAATAAATAATATCTTCAAGGGATAGGTAGGTCTAGTCCTGTTTGCTTTCTGCATCACACCCTGTCTCTTTGGCCTATTACCTCCCCGTCTGACAGTTCAAATACATGATATGCCCAATACATGTCAGGTCATAGGTGCTCAACCAACTCACACTCAGACATACATCATGGGAACTCACCCTAAATAGTGCTCATTCTCTCAGCACTGTGAGGGAGCACTGCAAGGAGGAAGAAGAAACTTCTTGTTTCACTTCTGCCCAACGTGAAAATCTCCCCTATCACTGTTTCCACTGGTGAAAGCAAGGCAGGAAGAAAACTGGGAGCTCCTTCTCTTGCCTCCCAGTGCTTCCTCACAGCATTGAGCAAATGAGCACTGTTTAAGATGAGTTCCCCCAAAATATTTCTGACTGAGTTTGGTCGGGCACATTATGTATTTGAAACCTGTGGAGTAACTTGGACAGATTTTAGATGCTTCAAGTGAGAGAAGCTTTAGGGATGCCAGGCTATACCTGGCAGCCAGTGGGAACTTGGAGGGCAGAGACAAAGGGGTGCCATGATCATGTGTGCCCTGACATCACTTCCATGGAAAACTAGAAATTACATCACTCTAGGAATCTCTGGAAACTCTATGGTAAACCCATAGAGTTTCTGGTGATTCCTAGAGCTACATGATGCCACTTCCATTGATTTCCAGAAATGATGACATACTTCATGTGATGCCATCATAGCAGGATGCCTGGCAGCTCTTGTTGGGCATAATGCTGAAAATTGGGCATTATTTTGACTGCTTAAGTTTGGTAATTTCCCAGCCTAGGTAACTGGTCCTTTTTCCCCTCAATATAATTTATTTCTGTTTTTACTCTACAAGCTTTCTTCCAGGCTTTCAGAGGAATGTATTCACTTTGTTAAAGGTCCCCTTACATTCATTGTGTGGATTACTGAGTACACTGGGGATGTTCCTTAAGCCGCAAGTTGAACCTAAACTCTTAGAGATGGTGGCGAAAGAGGTTTCTTCCTTGTGCATAGATTATCTTCAGTGTAGAGCTGGGCTCAAACCTTCAGATTTATTCATGTCTAGAATACATGTGACCACATTGGTAACAAACTGGATTTGAATTCATGGCGCAAGAGACACAAATTACATTATTCATGTTTATATCTTAACAGGCAGTTCTGTTCTACAATAATTGAGTATCAATATTTTTAAGAATTTACCACATATTGTGGGTCACCGAGCTGCAGAAGAAATTTCTAAAGAAAGAAAAGGTAAACTATACCTAATGCTGTACAAGCTTCCTCATCAGTGAAACTTAGCCGTGCAAGATCCAGCACCTTCAGAGCAGTAAAATTTGGCAAGGCAGCAGCTACAGGCAGAGATAAAAGTAAGCAGCCATTACATGAGACAGTCACAACAAATGGTTTAAAAATGCTGAAAGCTTCGAAATGCTCAAGCCACTCCGACCTCCATAAGGAAGAAAGGAAGCTAATACATGTTTTAAATTAAATAAATAAACAAAGCTTTATTATAATTTATGGGGGGGTTGATGACTCAGCTTTTTAATTGTATTTATTTATTAAGAATCTACACCAAACTCCAGATGGTTTTATAAGGAAGCTTGTGAAACTTGATGATCACTCAGGTTTCTGTGATTTCTGTTCTGCCAAAAATGAAACTGGAATATATGTGCTATGTAGTTCTTTGGGCCGATGCAACCCCAGTCATTTCAGATGTTATTTATTTATTTATGTATTTATTTATTTTATTAAATTTATATCCCACCCTCCCCAAATGGGCTCAGGGCGGCTAACAAGAGGCATATGCCACTACTAAAAACAGAATAAAACAGTCAATTCCAAACAAAGTGCCAGTGCTCTAAATAATAAGCTCTTATCAATCCAAGATGGGGTTCCACAAACCAGCATAACCCATCAGCATAAGTTCCGGATGGTACTGTCGTCCTTTCATAGCCAGTTCTTCAGGTCGTCTGGTCGTCTTTCCAGGGCCAGCTCACATCCTGATAGAATCCACCGTCAAAGATGGCAGCTCGGTGGTGGTACAGTAGCAGTGGTGGCTCCTATGGGCTTAAGGGGTCTTTTGGGGTCGGAGCGCTGCTCCAGGAGCCCAGGAGTTGGTAAAACGGCGGCGGCAGCAAGCCCCACCCCCAGCTCCCCACGCTGCGGCCCGTTGCCGTCTTCCTGGGGCCCACGCCAGAGCACTGCGGCCCCAGGGAGGCCTGAGGAGGCCCGTCGCTGCCTTCCCGGGGCCTGCGCCGGAGCGCTGCGGCTCCAGGGAGCCCCGAGGAGGCCCGTCGCCACTTTTTCGGGGCCCGCGCTGGAGCGCTGCGGCCCCAGGGAGGCCCATTGCTGCCTTCCTAAGGCCTGCGCCGGAGCGCTGCGGCCCCAGGGAGGCCCGAGGAGGCCCGTCGTTGTGTTACCAGGGCCCGCGCCGGAGCGATGCAACCCCAGGGAGGCCCAAGGAGGCCCTTCGCCGCCTTCCCGGTCCCCGCACTGGAGCGCTGCGGCCCCAAGGAGGCCCATTGCACCTTCCCGGGGGCCGCGTCAGAGCGCTGTGGCCCCGGGGAGGCCAGAGGAGGCCCATCATTGCCTCCCCAGAGAGGCCGGAGGAGGCCTGTTGTCACCTCCCCAGGCCAGCGCCGGGGCGCCGCGGCCCAGGGAAGGCTAGAAGAGGGCCCCCCCGCTGCCTCCCCGGGCCAGCGCTGTAAGAGAGGGTAAGTAAGGGCTCCACAGGGGGGTGGCGGAGGCTTGATTGGGGGAGTGGGGGTGGGAGAGCCTCCCCCTCCCCCGTCTCTTTGCCCTCGTTCTTTCTCTCCTTTCCTTCCCCTTCCTTTTCTTTCTCTCCTTTTCTTTCTCTCTTTCCC